AAAAAAAAAAAAAAAGAGGCGAACCTCACGAATCTCAGGCGAGAAAGTGGAAAGGAGAAATACGGAGCCCCGGAACGAAACGAATCCATTTGGAACGGATTAACAATTCGAATCAGCAATTATTCAGCAGCGGGGGAAGACACTGTTCTGGCCCGTGGTTGGTTAACGTAACGGGCGCGCGTTAATTACGGCGGTGTTTCCCATGAAACGCCCGCTAATTGGAAATGTAACGAAACGGCTGACACCGTTTCCACTTTCCGTCTCATTATTCATCCACTCATTAATCGTTACCTATCACTGGCACCAACGCGTAATTGTCACTTATATAATGCAATCGCGGCCAATCTCTAATCCTTGCCTCTCCCCCACCCCCTAACGCTGCCTCAGTTGATTTATCCGGGCGATAATTTTAATTCCACGCATAGTATAAATTCGATTATCTGTCAGGAGGTATCGCTTATTACCGTCGCATTAATCACCAGCCGGTGGTATGCGTCGGCCAGTTTAGCCTGTCGTTCGGTTATTTGTGCGTTCATCGAGGGAAATCGAGCCGCTGCCGCTGGTGTGGTGTGGTTGTTCCGAGATAAGCGATGGTTTATTTGGTACTTGAGGCACTCCTGTGGTTAATTTAGTGGAACTTCGTTCTGCCGGCATTTTCACGCGAAACGCCGATTAAATTATCAGCGTTACGGACGTTTAGTATCGTCGTCCTTATTGAAATATAGCTGCCTGTATGTATGTGTGTGGGTCAAATCGAACTCCGACTTAGTTTATGGATGTCCCGCGATAATTTCCATCTCGTTCCGAATTCCCGTCACTTTTTCGCCGTTACGTGCCTCGGTTGAAATCGTTCGGACGTATTTTCACTCGATGCTTCAACTATGGTTGTTGCCGAACGGATGAAAGTTCCGCGGATCATTGGGTACGATCTACAATCAGTGGTTGACCTTTCAAAGTGGTCTCTGCTGTCGTTCGATAGTAACGAGTTTGACAGAGATTCTTCAATTATTATAAATAATTTTCCAATTTTCGCGAGTTGTCAGGAATTTTGCGAATTTCTCGAACCTCGAGATTCTTAACAGCGTGGGTTTTCGAGTTTTTCAAACTTTCCAAGTCTCGCAGTTTCTTTGACCATTGAATGCCAAGAATCTCTGACTTCTCTCGATCCTCGTACTGCCGGATTTTTAATAAATCTTTCGATCCTCGAACTTCCAAGTTTCATAATCGTAGGATTCTTCTTCTCCAATCTTCGAATCTCTTCACCTTGAAATTAAAATTAAAATTCTTCGCTTCCCACCAGTTCCCGAATTTCCGAACTTCTTCAGTCTTTTTAATTTCCGAATCTTCGAACTTTACAACAGATGTTTATTCTTGTAATATCATTATCTTTCCTTGATTACAGTTGAGAAGGATAAGCTCGCTAGTACATCTGGAAATTTGGAAAGTGGGTAATCATTTTAAAAATATGAAAAAGTCTCGACGCAGATGCCCATTAGCTTCTTTCCATTCGTCGAGAAAGAACCGTCCTCGAAGTGACTTTTGATTTAAGGGAGCGAGACCGATTTAAAGGGGATGTACGTCGACTCTTTAACTTCCTGCTGGAGCAGAGATCTCCTTTCGCTTCACTAATTAAAAAAAAAAAAAACACACACAGACTATTCTGTGTAACTTGTACAATATAATTAATTCGTCGTTTGAGGCTTCGTTTTTTTGAGAAAAATCGAGTTCGAAAATTTGCTTTCAAATATACCAAGTGAGGGGAAACGATCGACGATATTCCACGCGCGAGGATAAATGGAAGAAAACTTTCCCACAGGAAAGCTTCGTTTCCGAGAAAGTGAAATTTCGAGAAAGTCCGAGACGCACGTGCATCGGGCATTTTTAAATTGAAACTTCGTCTCTCCTTGTGGTTTTAACTTCGACAACTTTGTTCACTGAAGTTCGTTTTCTTGGAAATAGATCTTAAACGGAGTTATTAACTTTCTATTTGTTCACTTGCACTCTGTCGATAATTAATCAAGTTTACTAAACGGGTTTTCGAGCGCAATTTTATCGAGAACGAAGCAACATGCGAACAAACTTTATTCCACCATTTCTGATTTATCTTTCCGCGTAGAATTCTCTTCCTTTCAATTGGGACGTGCAATGAAGAGCATAATTGAAACAATAATAATGAAAAATTCTCGACAATTTAAATTATTATATCTCGTAACAGAAAGTCAAATGACAATCCATTTGATCTCATTTTCAAGTGTAAAGCTTGTTTTTCTCAAACGTGTAACGAATGGAAAAACGAGGTATCTTCAAAAGGAATTGTGAAAATTCAACCGTTTGTAAAAACATTGAAAAATTGTTTTTTTGAACTAAATCTACAATCATGTTGGAGATTGAAGTCTCTCCTTTATAATGAATTCTTGTAATTTACGATTTTATTGAATTTTGAATGACCGACTGTATTTTAGTGAACTACATATTTGTTCAAAGTTTAATAAAATGATGAAAAAAAAAAAGAAAAAAAAATCGTATAGCAAGTTTTAAGGGGGAAGATCACTGTGGATCCAGTTGTGAAAAAAATTTTTTGACATTTTTTACAGATGTCTTTTACAATTTTCGAGAAGAAAATCGAGAGATCGTTTCTTTTTTTTTTTTTTTGAGAAAGATAAGTTCAAGACTGAAAAATAAAGACTCTGTGCCTTGAAATGAGTCCAAGTGGATTATTGCATGATCTTTCCGTTGCGGAGTTATAACAATTTAAATT